CCCTTGACCTGGATGGTTGCCAAAGTTTGAGAAGCATCTTTTCATGCCCAAGTTTAAAATGCCTTTCCTCATATCAAGGTGCTCCCAATTTAGAGTGGCTTAGCGTGTTTGATTGCTCCAGTCTGGAAGAGATATTCCACTTTGAAGGGATCCTTTCTAATGATCATCATCAAGGACAAGCAGCAGCTCCAATTGTGCTCAGTTATGGTTTATTAAAATATTTGACATTGACATCTCTACCGAAATTGACAAGCATATGGAGTGGGTCCCGTCAGCTTCTCGTGAATTTTCCTGCCCTAAATACCCTTGTCCTGGATGGTTGCCAAAGTTTGAGAAACATCTTTTCAGTTGCCATGATTCCAAGCCTTAAATGTCTTAAAATTCGGGATTGTAAAAAATTAGAGGAAATTATTACCAAGGGAAAGGAGAATGAAGCTGAATTTTGTACTACTCATCATGATCCACCGCAGCTGCAGTTGGTAGGCCTTAAAGAGCTGATAATCGATTCATGCCCCAAAATCAAATGCCTCGGTCTCTCATCTCAAGGGGCTCCAAAATTGGAAACACTTGTGATGAAAGATTGCCCTCTGCTAGAGGAAATTGTTGAGAAAGAGGAGGGCATCCTCAAGGATGTAATATTATTCCCAAATGTAACATCCTTAACAGTGAGATATTGCCCTAGGCTGTTGAGAACCCCCTTTGGCTTTGCTACTCCATCCCTTTTTCAAGCTCATCCTCTGTGTCTTATAGCCCCCTCTAACCTAAAAACTGTGATACTGGGTGGATTTCATGGATATAGAAAGATCTTCTCAGCCACCATAGCTCGTGCTCTTCTACAATTAGAATGGCTCCAAGTGTATGATTGCAGTTCCGTGGAAGAAATTTTTGAGGATGCTGTGGATAAGATTGCAATAATATTCCCCAAATTGCAGTGGTTGGAATTTGAGTTTTTGCCATCCCTCATAAAAATCTATGGACGTAACAGTAGTAGTGATCTTTTTCGCTGTCCCTTGTTGAAAGATGTGACCATACGTGAATGTCCAAAGCTGCTGCATTTCCCCTTTCAACGTCAAAGCGTTCCCCTTCTACAGGAGTTCCGAATTGTGTCATATGGGCTGACAATGGAAGAATTAAGCAACAAGTATGGGAAAGAGATGTTAGAATCTGGAAAACCACTACTTAGACTGTAAGTTCCCTAACTAAAGTAGGTACACAATCGAGAACAATTGGGTACATTTTCTCGTTCTTCCCGTAAATATTTTCAAAACCTCTGACATTTTCAGAACATGTCAAGAAATCACCCAACTTCTCTTCTCAATATGATGGAATAATAGATATTTTGTCAATTGTGAAGATGAAGATGGCTCGGATATTGGGGTTTGTTTTCTGTTTAAGGAAATTATGCTTGAAATATATTAATTTATTTTGTAACTTGGGGTTTATTTTCATATTTGTAATTTTTTCTTCTAAACTTCATAGAACCCAAAGCCAAGACTACTTTACATACTTGAATTTATTTGTAGGATTTCAAAAGATGTGGAAAATCGATTCTTTCTGGACCTTGATGAATAGAAATCGATTCTTTCTGAAATTGTGGAGGATGAGGAGGTATTGTGATTTGATTTTATGCTATATAGGCTTCTGGTTCTCTATATAGGTCAGTATTAATTTGAAATCTATGAATTTAATAACATGATTGTACTTAATGATTTTCATGACTTTTCCATGGAAGGAGAAGATGCTTCCATCTTCAAGCGTGCGCTAGAAGCTCACTCACAGGGGAACCAACCATAATTTACAATTTATTTTCTATCTCAGGTAACAATATCTGACTTTTTCACTGAAATCAATTGTATTGTATTGTTAGAACTACAATTTATTATCTCTGTTCAGTAATTATATAATACACCAATTCTATATATGGACATTTTTTCAGTCAGAACTAGCAGTGCCACGCACTTGATCAAGAAAAGAATCACACATTAGGGGTTGGGTGGGTGGGTTATAATTAATATGCCCATATTCAAATTTTACAAGGGATAAATCTAAGGGTATGGACATGGTAAATGGTTTTGAGGCCCTATCCAAATAACTGCATTTATGAAGTCAGGCTTGAGCTCGGGGTGGGCATTTTTGAGAATGTCCAAGCCCACGGACCTGAAGTCATGTCCAAGTCCAACTTAGAATGGACCAAGCCATCGACCCATGAACATATCAATCCACAACCCCTTTAAAAACTCATTAAATAATTAGCTTTTTACTTCATCACACAATTGTCTATCACATAGAAGAAGCAAAATCCCAAATTAATTGCTTCATTCTACTTTTTTTCTTTTTTTTTGCATGCAGGACATTTCAATGCATCCAACAAGAAGAATAAGGAAAAGAACAGAGGCAAAATTTCAATTCTTTTCATCATGTCAAGCTGTGCTAGCAAGCAGGAATATTGTTTCTGTTGTTATTCTAGTTTACTTTGAATTTCAACAATAAGTTATGGAAGAAAAGTTTGCATAAATCAGACTTGTAATTCTTCCTTTATTTGCCAATAAAAGGAAGCCTTGTGATTGATTTTCATTTATTAACACTATTTTTCGTGGGATTTCTTTCAAACTTTGAATACTTTTATTGATGTGCCTTATACTACAAAATATGTTCGATCACAACAACTCTCCCAAATGCTGGTCAAGCCAAATTTATACTTTTGTTTGATCAGGAAATGTGAGATTACATTTTCCACTCACATATTTGTTTTTGCTGAAAATTTTAATTTGATATTGCATTTGTGGTGATGTTATATTAGTGTAAAATTTGCATGTTTCACATATGGTTTCAATCTCATTTTTCCACTATATCATTATAATAATGTCTATATCTTATCGACATTCACCATGGGATGTCTAGTCTTAAATATGAAACCTTATTACAAAAAAATATATGATCAATCTCATCACCTATAGAATGATAATTAATCCAACCAGCCATTGCAGCCATACATCAATCGGGAATATCTTCCCATGACATGGGAAATGTTTTATGCACCAATGCATATTGATACTTTGAACCTTGCTTTCTCAGAGCTCAGAATGACAACCCTAAAGGTTCAAATGTATGGGAGATCATTAATAATCTAGTCTGGCCTTTGAAGGCTGGGCTTATGTCTATACTTCAGACTTCATCCATAAATATGTGTATATTATGGGTAAGTACATGTTGACAGAAAGTTTTGATACTAGAAGAGCTTTGACCAGTCAAACCCCCAATGAATTTTGATGAGTGTTACCTGATTCGTTGCTACTTTTGTGTTACCAGTTGACTGTAGGCTTGCATCAGGAACATGAAACTCTAATCCATTAACGGATAGGGCCCGTTCTTAAGAAACAAACAACACAAAAACTGACACATTTCATCAACAGAACTGGGCCGAGTTACTCTTGGGCCACTATCAATGGGCTAGACTTTGATTGACTTAAGCCCATTTCCCTTAAGTGGTCAAGGATACTTGGTGTACAAACAGCATTTAGAATTTGACATGCGATGCATGTTTCTCCCTCCCTTCTCTCTCTCTCTCTCTCTCAGTTCTTTCTCTTTATTCTCTTTACCTCTATAATTGCCTCTATGATATTCAAAATTTATAGGAATGCCACATATAAGACAAAACATGACAAATTTATAGGAACCCAATCATCCTGCAAAATTTATAGATCTGACCATAAGAGCCTTGTGTTCCTCAACCATGGAGAGAACCCAACATGGAACTTTGCTAGCAGTAGTGTAAGATGTGGGTTTGGTATCAATACGTTGGCTTCAAGAGCATACTGGGATTCAATTTAAAAATACCATGGGAGAGCAAGTTTCCATAGCATGTCTAGAAACTAATGGCATACAAAAGAGGTTGATGGGTTCTCTATATGAGATGGATCCATGGTTTAAAATATCAATACGCCCAATACACTGGTAGAGGCGTATCATGCAGTATCGGTAGCTTTTTCTTTATTTTTTTAGTTTTGTTTTTTAAATCTGGTTCAGAGGGGCAGGTTTCAAGTCCGTCCACCCCTTGAACCGGTCAGAAATCCTAAAACACCCCCTGTAGGAGCGTATTGAGAAGCCCCCGATATGATACATATCAGTCGATACGGCAGATACATGTCAAAATTTCGAACCTTTGATAGAGCAATAGTGAACAACATAGCGGCAACATCATCTTGTGATACAATAGAGACCAGATGAGTCATAACTGTCAATGAAAAAGAACTAAGCACTATTACAGTAAAGAAAACCAGTGGAAGTTCAACAATTGAACTATAAGAAGAAGAAAATGACAAAGTGGGCAGCATAGTCGAAGTGGTGAAAGCAAACTTATGTTCATTGAACACCACATTTCGAGAGATATATACTCGTCCTATCTCCTATAGGTATGTGCAAACATTTATAACCCTTTTAGTGAAAGATATAACCAATGAAAACATATTCATCAGAGCGAAATTCCACCTTTAAAAGATAAAACATGAGCGTCTGATGAGTGTGGTTGTTTTCCACATACCTATAATTGGCCTACTGAAAGAAGATTCATGGATAGTTTAGGAACTATATAGGTATTAGTGATGGATAGACAAGGTGTTTTAATTGATCCAATATGAATAATAGGCACAAGGTTCCACCAACGGTTTGAATTGGAGGAATATTAGAGACTGATTTTAGAAGAAAGGAGAGATGGACTTGAAGTCATATGATTGCAACAAGTTGAGTCAAACAAACCAAGAAGTACTTGGTTCCAAGGTTTTAAAAACCGACCTGGAAATGGAATCACTATGGCCACCAGTTTTTGGGTCAGTAGTTTGACCATCCGGGTCAAATGGTCCAGACGGTTTATATTATTGGGTCAAATGTTGGTATTAGCCTTTAGACTTTTAGTTTTTATAAGAAAGAGGTTGTGGTTGTCGGCTATGAAAGAAAGAAGAAGAAAAGGAGGAAAGAAAGGAAAGAAAGAAAGGAAGAAGAAAAAAGAAAGAAAAAAAGGAAAGGAATAATGAGAGAAAGGAAAGAAAGAAAGGAAAGATTGAGGGAAAAAAGAGGAGGATTAGACTTTCACCGGCAATGATGGCAACGACAATGGTGATGATGATTTCTCTTTTTCTGTTGTACCTTTGAAACGCTGTTCGAGTAGAATGGGTTGATGGTTCAACCGCCCGGGTCATCAGTTCTCTATCTAAGTCAACGAGTTTTTAGCTTAGAAATGGGTTAAGGGTGAAACGGAACTGGTTGCATGGACGTTTTTGGGCCGACCGTCCAGGTCAATAACGGTTCAAAAACACTACCTGGTGCAACAAAGAAAATAAATGATTAAATTTTATGAGATAAAACCTGGTCAATTATAACTCCAATGTCATCTATATGAAAAAGTAGGGGAGGATCCATAATTGGGAGTGTCAAGAGTAGTAGTATTTGTGACACCATCAGGGCATTGAGTTAAACCTTTCTCTTCTCTTGTTCATGTTGCTTCTTTCTATGTAATTTTTGACATTAGTCAACTATATGTCCCTTATTATTGCAGAATTTGCAAAATGTTGTGAACTAAGAACCCATAGTGGCAAGAACACCAGTAGTGACTRGAGTAGTGGMTGGTGTAGTGGCCCARACTGAGTCTGAAAATATACGAGTAACATTCCTCCATGTTTCTTCAGCAACTGCTTTTTCGAAGGATGGGAGAGGATCACAGTGCAAGAGATAAGTACGAATATGGTCATAGTCATCATGTATTACAATAAGAAATCGATGGAGAAATATAGCATCATGATACACTCGTAAAATTTTGCCATTGTGGTTTACATAAAGATAATTGACCCCAAATATCAGAGTAACAATCAGAAATGGACTGGCCTTTTTCTTGGAGCATATGGTGCAAGGTATCCATATGTTGATAATAACGAGAAGCACTACTAGTAGTAGAATATCGTTTGGCCAAGAAATCCGTTACCTCTTTGGTGGTGTAAAATCTTCCAAATTGTTGTTGAATGGTCCTCAGTCTTCACAAGTGTATTGCCAAACTACGAAATGATCATTCCCGTTGATTGTTTCCTTGATATCTACAATGACATAGCGCTACTGCTTTTGTCCCTTCAAAAATATTTTTATGCCTTGGACCTAAGGAGTATAATTGGATGAGTTCAGGTCTGCCCCACAAGGGCACACCCCACAATATTCCATAGCACATTTCTGTCATGTATTGGGAATATCTCCAGATGATGACATCATCATTTTTTATATTATTATTGGGAGATGTTTTCAGTATATGGTGGGAATATGCGGTAGGACGTTGTGGGGCGTAGAGGTGAAATTTAATTGGATCCATCAAGAACGGTTTGGATTGGTTGCCACTTCTAATTGGCCCATGACGCAAACCCACTTTTGACAATTGTCAAAATATTTATCAAATGTTCATTTAATGTGCTTACTTATGTTGTGCCTATAAGACCCCGGTTGATCCCATACGTCACACTGCAACAGCACCAACTTGTGAAAATAGCAGTGACTTGAATCAATAAGCCAAAAGAAGGATGAAGAAATTTAGGCCACAAAGAATAGCCGGTTCTGATACCATGATAAAATTGAAGAATGGATGTTTATATTACTTTGGGTTTTGAATCAATAATTTCCGATGTGACCATCAGGTCTGATTGGGTTTTGAAAACCATGGCAAAAGGTTTTCTATCTATGCAACAATATTGAATAATGAATAATACCGAAAGACCCAACTCTCTCTCTCTCTCACAATTAATATCCATTTATATTTATAAACATGGGCAGAGTTCTCATAGGCAGGAAATCCGGCCTCAATAATAAGTGCATTTATTCCTTTTAAAGTATTTCTCACAGGATAAATGCATTTATTTGTGTTTTCTATTCTCTAGGTAAAATTGTATAAAGCTTTTCTTATCCAAAAAAAGTGACAATATTGAGGAATAATATTGTCTTATAATTTTTTGCACATATATATGGATAATTGATTTATCCATATATATGTCGAGCACTCAAGCCTCGTCTCAGGAGAATATTACTTGTCCAGTTAAATGAGTTACTTAGATTCATTTATACCAAAATACAAATATAAGTTTATTTATTTTCAGTAAAAGCCACAAACTAATCCACCCTTCCGAGAAAATGAAGGAAGCCTTAAAGTATGGTTGAAATTAAGATTAGCTAGATAGATCATTATACCCTTGAAATTTTTAGTACTTATTTCATCGAATTCGGATTGCTCCCGTTTGAATCTTTGGATCGGATTAGATGATAGGATCCGATAAAAGTTTGGATTGGATTTGGATCATATTATCTATATTTGATGATTGGATTATATTATATATATTTATATAAATATATAATATATATATGTAATTTATTTATTTTTTTAGAGAATATATATATATATATATGATGAAAATAATTAAAACATACTTATATTTTTTTATTTTTCTTTTAATAATTTTATTAATTTTTAAAGAAAATAAATCAGACGGATTATATCCAAAGATCCAACTTCCTGATCGGATTCGAATTCAAATTCTTACCTATCAGATCCGA